ATCCCGTTGAGAAATGCCGTTGATATGTCCATCTGGATAATGAACTTCCCACTAACGGCTGCATCTGCCAACAAGACACGAAGGGTAGGGGGTTTGGCAGTGGGAGCAAAGATCTCATTGAAGTCCCGCTTCTCCTTCTGCATAAACCCCTTAGCCACCAACCTACTCTTGTAGATGGTGACCTGCCCCTTGTCGTCAGTCTTGATCCTTAGCACCCACTTGCATTGTACCGCTTTCTTTCCCTCAGGCAGCACCACTAGTTCCCAAGTCCCATTCTCCAGCAGGCTCTGGTACTCAGCATCCCTGGAAGCTAGCCATTTGTCCCTATCTGGTCCAGCTAATGCCTCCTCCATGCTAGCTGGTTCCTCTGGTGCAGGGGCAAGAAAACAGTACGCAGGTTGATCCTCCTCATCCGGGTCATAGCCATGCGGTAGAATCAGCAATGCCTCCTCGGTCCCAAGCTGCTGCTCCGCTACATCAGCTCCTGCAGTCAGCTTCTTAGTAGCCATACGGGTACGTCCTGGCCTGGAGACGGGTGTCTCCCATCCCTTCATAATAACACCCTTCGGCTTCTTAGTTTTCCCCTGCTGCTGCTCTCCTCCCTCGGATCCAGCAGCTCCACTAGTGCTACCGCTAATCTCCACACCATCACCTCCACCAGCAGGTGCCTCCTGCACCTTCTCTTTATCACCACCCTCTGCAGCTGACTCCTCTCCCTCCTCCCACACACTAGGAGTCAGGTCCAGCTGCATGGTGATCTGCTCCATCTGCTGGGACACCCTGGCCTCCGGCTGTTTCTCCCAGCTCCCATACATCATGCCCTCAACAAACTTCACATCCCTGCTGTCAAACAACACACCCTTGGAAGGCTCCCACAGCAGCCATCCCTTGCTCTCAGCAGCCAGCCCCAAATGCACACACCAGATTGCACTCGCCCCCAACTTACTGCGGTAGGTCTTGGGAACGTGGGCGACTGCCATGCAACCGAACACCCTCAGCATGTCCACCGGCGGCTTCCTCCCAAGCCACCTCTCCAACGGCACCCACGAGTCATCCCCAACCTTTGTGAGTACCCTGTTCCTAGCGACGGTAGCGTGCCGAACAGCATGGGGCCACATGGAGTTGCCCAGTCCAGATTCTATTAGCAGCGCCCTAGCTGTCTCCAGAATTGTCCGGTTCGCCCGTTCTGCTACACCGTTAGACTGTAGGGTGTAAGCCGTGGTCAGCTCCCTCTGGATGCCCTGCTTCTTGAGCCAGGTCGTCATCTCAGCTCCAAGGAACTCACCACCCCGATCTGTCCTAATCCGCTTCACCACACACTCCGCTTGCTTCTCCACGAACGGCAGCCAATCGTCCCGAATCGTGGAGGCGGCGTGATCTTTCTGCTTCAGCGGATACGCCCACATTAGCCTGCTCCAGTCATCCACTATGGTTAGGAAGTACCGCTCCCCCTTGTGCCCTTGCACCGGCAGCGGCCCCACCAAGTCCATGTGGACCAGCTCCAACGGCTTTTTGCTCCTGCCAGCCACACTATGGAAGGGGAAACGGGTGAACTTTGAAAGGAGGCAAATTTCACAGTTATCATCGGGTGGTTGTCCGTTCAGCTTTAAGCCCTTAACGGCTCCATCCTTCTCCAGCTGCTTCAGCAAAGGCATTGCCACATGCCCCAAACGTCGGTGTACAGTTGCCCAATCTGTCTCCCCAGATCTGGCCGACACTTTCACACCAACCCCTCCAACGGCGTTGCACTCCCCCTGGGATGCAGACCCCTCTCCAGCCTGCCCCCCACCGTGCCACGCCAGCGCCGGCAGCTGCCACATAGATCTGTACACGTCCTTGCTCTCGTGCAGATCCCAAAGCACCCGATTGCCCAGCTTCCCCTTATAAGTGCGAGCCCCATCCGTGTTGGTGTTCACCCCAGCCTTGCCAAGCTTACGGAGGGAAAGTTGGGTATTTGTACAAACCCCAGAAAGCTGTACCCCATATGTGCTACCCCATTATAGCCTACAGTAGCTATGTCATATAAATCTGACAGCACGACCCCCCACCCAAAATGCAATGCGCATATGGCTCGCAGCAACACTATTATGAGGCCCGATGCAAACAAAAAAAGGGTTCAAGGCGAAGGGACGTGGGCGCATTTTCATGCAGCACTGGTCAGATAGTTCGACGTGTTGAACAGTAGATATCTCTGAACACAACGCAACCAGGCAATCGGCACCACCCACGACTGCCGACGCGATGGAGAACGACAAGGGTGTTGAGTGCAAAATGTGGTTTGTACGTCTACCTACCACCTATTCGCCGAAGATAAAGGAAAATGAGAGTCTCTGTTTTGAGGTAATTTGTGGAGTGCGAGGAGCGCCTTTGCGTGCTTTACATTTGTGCGTTTACGGTTTGTGAACCGCCTTAGCGGTTCATGAGTTATGTGCATTTTTGTGTGTGAGTGCATTTCATGAATGTTCATAAGTTTCCGTGAGAGCGCATGAAAGTTCGTGAGTTTCGGTAAGTTCGCGTAACTTCGCGATTGCTCATGAGTCTGCGTGTGCGATCATGATTTCTCATGCGTTTTTGTGAGTTTTCATTAGAGTTCATGAGAGTTCATATTTTCGTGAGTTTTTCGAGTGTGGCGAGTGTTTTGCGAGTTTGACTTTTTCGTGCTGGTCAAGGTCAACCGAGCGCGAATGTCAAGGACCCGCGTGTGGGGTCCTGACACGCGCGTGTGGCCCCTCAGGCCTCGAGCGTGTGCCGTGGCACTGTTGCGAGCATGGCAGGGCCCATGATCGCAACAAGACAGAGCACAGTATTGCCTTGTTAGCGCCAAGACAGCGCACGATCGCGTACGCGATCGTCCTGTCGTGCATGACCAAGAAATATCTCGGTCATGCTGGCTGGCACGTGGGGAGCTCGGGATTTACAGTTGAAAAACTGTATCCCGTGTTGACTTGGCAAACAAGAGGTTTCGCCAGAAAGTCACGCTAGTTTGCGTCATCATTTCGACAAAGGTACGAAACGGTAAATGCTGTTTTGCAACGGTAAATTCCGTTTTACAACGAGAAAACGGTTTTCCCACACGAGGCTTCATGAATGTTAAAGCCGTTGACCCAAATTGCAAGCCGCGCGCGTCAAGCTTTTAATACTTGACGCAATGACTTTCGGGTTACCGAGTTTAGAGTAGGCTGAAGTCCGCGCGACACAATTGAGGAAATGAACCAATGATAACATATCCCCAAGGGATGGGAGCCAATGAAATTGAACACAATTGTGTTCCGTCGCAGCCCAGGGTTCTGAAGAACCCGTCTTGCCAACACTCACCCAAAAACTTGAACCAGATTGAGCGCAATTTGGAACTTCAAAACACAAACTAGCACCAGCTGCAGAGCCGTACAATAGGCCATCACACATCCCTGGCACACCACGATTGCCCATAGCACACCTGATAGCATTTCGACGCCATCACGAGGGAGTGTAGGGTGCAACCAGCAAATCTTACAGTTTAGAATGATGGTCGTACGGGAAGTGTCCTGGTTATAGCGCAGAGAGGATAAATCGCAACGGCGGTTGTAACGACGGTCGCGTTCGCCGTCACGGCCATGATAATTACAGCCATGGCGGCACGCCGTCGACTGGCCATGTAGCCTCGGGCTGATCGCCACCTTCGCCCTTACGCGCCGCGTCTCGCCGCGCGGTGATTCGTCGCGCATAGTTTTATGCCGTGGTGAGAGGTTGCGCCACGCATCGTGCCTGAATGAACGCGTCGTACATACGAACTACACGGGCGGGTAAAACGCCGACTCGTCATTGCATCGGTGGAGCGAATGGCCGGAAATGCGCGCGACGCTTACAAACAAGCGCATCGGTTTAGGGTTTCGCGACCAAGTTCGACATGTGGTTGCGAATCAGACACCTCGTCGTCAAGGCTACCAACGCATACCTAATGTCGTGTCCGACAGTTCATGCCTCAAGACCCCCTCAAATCCACCCATCAAATCCCCCCTTCCCACCTTTCGAATGCGACCCCACTGTCCCCATGCCCCTTTGCAGCCCTCTCTCCCCGCCGTCTGTCTGTGGAATATGGATGGGGCATCGCTGGATTCGGAGAGCGTCACCCCACGCCGTCTGGCTCGTACGCCCTCCTCTCCCCGCCTTGTTTGTAAGCGTCACCTTTCCCTCATCCCCTCCCATCTCCATCCGAGCCCACCTCTTCCCCTCGCCCCTCCCTTCCCCACACCTCCAATCCCTCCTCTCACCTTCTCTCTCCGTTCCGCCGCAACCACTCATAGCCTACCATCCCCTACGCCCCGTCTTCTCCTCTCAGCCGCTCCACGCAAGCCGCCCCTCCGCCTCTCCATCATGCCGCTGCTACAGTCACCGTTTCGTCTTACGACGTCTCTTCTGGCGCCGTTGCGCTTGCTCCCTTACCTCCATCCACGGCAGCAGAAGGACTTTCCCACTCCGTCTCTGCTCCCTGCTTCTCCATGGAGCCCCGTAATTGGCTGGAATACTCAGGACGGGGCTCCACGGATCTCCTAGGCTCGTAGACCCGTGCCATGGATTCCGAACCTGCAGGCGATGCTCGGTCGTCCCTGGCCTTGCTGGCGTCGAATCTGGTCCCTCCATTGCAGCTTCGGCGGCGACAGGACGTTTTTGCCAAGTAATTTTAGTAGGGTTGGGGGATGAGATCGACGGATGGTGTGTGAGAGGGTTCGTTCTTTTTTGGAAGAGGTAGTTGCTGGTTGGAAGAGGTAGTTGCAGGTTCGGAGGGGAAGATGCAGGTGGAGAGGTGTAAAGTTGGGAACATTTTCTGGATGATTTGAGGGCGGCAGTTTTCAGGTTTAGGGATAGGGTTGGGTGAGGCAGGAAGGCGAAGACCTAGAGAAGCTTGCTTTGTCATTCTTCCTCGTCCTGCTGCTGCTGCTTCTGCTGCTGGACCTGCTGGTAGCGCTGATGGCGGTGCGTGCTGGAGCTGGCTTCACCACGGACACGGAGTGGGGCTGCAGATGAGGGTATATCACCAGTTCACTCTTCCATTCCCCCCTTCCCCTCCTCCTCCTCATCTCGCTATCACAGGCTCGATTCTCCTCCCAACCCAGGCGAGTAGCGATCTGGCGAGCCAAACCATACGAAACAAAAACCAGAGGACAGCAATGAGCCATCCCGCGCTGGTCCTGCTGGGGCTGGTTGTGACGGGTGCCCTGGTGCTGTCTGTGCGTCATGCTGCCTTAGTGATCGCCTCCCACAGCGGCCAGAGCAGCACGAGTGGTCAAAGTGAAGGTGAGGCTAATAGTGGCACTGGTGGTGCTGCTGGTGGTACTAGCAGGTGCTGGGTGGATGCTGTGCTGCCTCATTGATCCTCTCTCATGGCTGCCTGAGCGGCACAAGTGGTCAAAGTATGGTTGTGAGGGAAAATGAGGCACTGGTGCTGATAGTGGTGCTGGGCTTAATGTTGCTGGGGGTGGGGTTGGTGCCAGCAGGTGCTGTGGTGGTGGGTATGGGGCCCGTTGCCTCGTTGATCCTCACCCGTGGGTACCAGGCGCCACTAGTGGCGCTAGTATGATGTTCATAGGTTTCGCCGGGGGTGGTTCTAGCTGGTGCTATGGCCGTGGGTGTGCCTTGTCCTGCCTCATTGATACTCTCCCATGGAGGCCAGACCTCGAGTGTTCACAGTGCAGGTGAGAAAGTACGAGGCAGTGGTGCCGAGGGTGGCGCTGGTGGCGCTAGCGGTGGTGCTAGCTGGTGCTGTGGCTGCGGGTGTGCGTCATTGATACGCTCCCAATTCAGCCTGACCTGAGCAGCGCGGCACGGTGGGCGAAGTGCAGGTAAGGGGAAGTGAGTGTACACTCAGGCAGTGGTGCTAATAGCGATGCTAACTGTGGTCAAAGGTGGGTGCAATGGGGGCCACAGCCATGGACAACAGCACGAAGCATCTCAGAAGATGCCTCGGAGATCAGCAGCACTGGGAGGGTGACGCATGTCAGAACATGAGTGGCTTTTGAGAGTTCTGAAAAGCCAGAGCAGGGCAGCAGCACTGGCGGGTTGGTTTTTGTCCGAATTGGCGCATCTTCACTTCATTCTCGCCTCTTGACTGTGGACCGAATTTCCGTCTCTCACTAGCCACTCCCCGCAGGGACTAGTAGCACCCCTGAGGCCCATGGCCGCAGCAGGGTTTAGGGGGTGAAACTCGTAGAGTGGAAAGACTCGTAGAGGGATGCCGGAGGAAGAGGGGTCGATGCCTCGATTGGCTGTGGACTGGAGTGAGGAGGAGCGGGGGAGGATGGAGTGGGTAGGAAGGGTAGGAGCTGAGACGGGAGTGGAGGAGAGAGGGGAGGATACAGGCGAGTTTTGGGTGAGGCGACGGGTGGGGGGAGTGAGAAGGGCGGGAAATAGAGTGGGTAAGGATCATGCAGTGAGAAGAGGGAGGAGGAGAGCGGTTCGCAAGGTGATGGACGGTGGGGTAAGCGGTAGGGGGTTGCAGGAAAGGAGGAGGAAGCGAAGACGATGGAGAGGAGGGGGTGGGGTAGGGAAAGAGGGAGGGAGAGTGAGGGAGTGTGAGGGGGTGATGGTGGGGGAGTGGCCCGTAGTGGATGGGTTGGCTGCTGTGGGAGCACTCATGGCTGAGCGGGGGAGGCGAGTGAGGGAGGGGAGGGGAGAGGAGAGGGGCGGGGCGAAGGAGAGTGAGAATGGTGCCAGTGGCGGTGTTGGTGGTGGGGGGCAGAGCAGCAGCAGCAGCGGTCTTCCTTCCATTGGGTGTGTGTCTGCTGTCTTCCTGCTATTCTTCTGTTTGTTTGGTGCATGTTCTGGATTGTTGTGTCTTCTGATACGCACAGAAGTTTGTTTCAGCTTTACGTCAGACGGACTGAAGCAGCTGTTTCGGGAGAGTTCTCGAAAGCTATTCTGATATTCGTGATTTACACCTGCTGCGTCCTTGAAAGTACATGCATGCCGTTTCCTACTTCCTCTTTCCCCATCAGCCCAGTTACCTCATTCCCTATCTTCCTGCAGCCTTCCTGCACATGTCTGCATGGCACAAGGACCAGCCTTCACATAACCAGTAGCAGCAACTGTCTTCAGCATGATGTGGACCTCCAACAGCCAGACCACCCTACATAAATAGTCACGCCAAGCAGTAGATCCATGCTAGTAAAACACAGGCTACAAAACAACTCTATTGCATGAGTCTTGTGTTGTTACAATGTTTAGTTTGAGCATGCTTCACCTGTACTCTATGGACACGCGATAATATAGCCCACTCAATCATCGGTGGGTTGCGACACCCGGAAAAAAAGAAATGCCATGAGCACATGCCTGTGTCTTGCCTAGCAACCTTCCATGCCGGGTTGGATGCTGTTAGAGTTATACGAAGAGTGATTGAAATGTTCTGTTCGCGGAGCAACAGAAAGGCGTATCACATGATGCCGAATTGAAGGAGATAGTCTCCACCATGGGCCCACGCCTTTCCTGCTTGGATGGGCGAATCTTCATGTCTTGGGCGTTGTTGAGAAGCCTCACACACAATGGCACAGCTGGGTTGTAACGTGATTCTGGCAACGGCACGGATGAAAGGAGCCATGTGTGGGAAGAGGGGAGTGAGTGACAAAAAGGAGGAGAAATCTGGAATGGAAAAGAACGAGTGTGACGATATACATAGGATGGTTACAACATTCGGCAGTCTGAAATCGCTCACACAAGCCCTACCATCATAAAATCAGCATCATGCACAGCTCCCATAACCTACATGCTGACGTGGATCACATACCTAAATAGGCATGTCATCGTCTTAGAACACCACGAAGCTCCAAGGCCCAAACGGTGGTGTGGCGTGGTGTGCACACCAACCATGGTCGGAGTACCCACCTATGCATGTTGCGACTTGCGTTTACGCCCGCACCGCCATTTCGTGCCGCTTGCATCAACGCAGATTGGCTGGCAATTCCCCTGCGGGAGTGGAGTGGGGAAAGGACACATGGACACATTGGGCATTACTCTACCGTATGTCATGCTGACCACGTTGCCCTGCAAGTGGTGTACCTCATGAGGGACTACCACAACAAAGAGGGGTAGATGGAAGGCATTGAGACTCATAGGTGGGCTGGGCCACTCTTTTATGTGACATGGGACTTAGCAACTACGTTGTTGAAGCACGACAACGAACCGAGCAAGCGGCGGCGTGCAGGTGTAGGTCGCCTCTTGGGATTGGGTGCACCAGATCGAGTCGTGCTGCCCTGGCATCCAGGCGAAAATACGAGGCCAGTGGACACAATCGGGCTGCTGCCTTCAGGCTCAACTGAAACGGTGCTGGAGGGTCCGGTCACGGTGCGTGGGCGCTGCGCACGGGTGTTCTCACTTCGTTCCTCATCATCAGCACCATCAACACCCTCGCCCTCTCCGTTCCTCTCAGCCTCCCCAGCATCCGCTGCACCTTGTGCCAACCACTCCCGCATAATGCTGTCCACCCATGACCAGTCCATGGGTCCTAATGTCCTCTCCTTTCGGCCCCTCTGGACACGCGTCACTTTTCGCACCCGGATGCGATAAGCTTTGACGAGCCGGTCCATGCAGCTGTTCCAATGCAGCACGGCTAAGGCTATGCGTGCCTCCATGCTGCCTCTGAAACGCAGCCGCTTGGGTGCATACTTGCAAACAAGTGAGTGGAAAGACTCGTTCAGTGAGCTGTTTGCGCCATGAATCAATGTTGCCACTTGGGTTGGCCCGAGCCGTGATTTGAACCATTCACGAACAGCCAAGTGGGTAGGTGATCCAGACGCGTATACAGCACTCTCTTCCCCCCACCCTTCCGAAATACAGCGTGGAGGCATGGTTCCCACACGTCGGCAGCGAGTATGGTCACCTGCCCAGTGATCTGCAGCAAGCCCCAACTCCTCAGACACCTGCTCCGGCGTCATCGGGTCTCCCTCGCTGGCCTTGGTGGCAGCCCGCATCATGCAGTGCTTGAAATGCACGCTAAAGCGTTGACCAACAGAGAACACCAATTTCTTGCTACCATCGCTCCCTCCAGCAGGGATCGCACTGGTACCTTCCCCGCGTGCCCGCTTCTTTGAGCTACGTTTTGACCACCGTCGCTGATCCTTGCTCTTGATGCTGGAGATGCCATCCAGCCCTCCTGCAAGTCCCCAATATATGAGCATCAGGACATTAGAGGCTGGTTGTGTTGCAGTGGTAGTGCACACGGCACATGCCATGTGCATTCATGGCTGAAGAGGTGTATGCGGGGCTGGAGTGGTGGTAATGAGCTATGTCCAGGGCTGGAGTGGTGGTAATGAGCTATGTCCAGGGTTGGAGTGGTGGTAATGAGCTATGTCCAGGGCTGGAGTGGTGGTAATGAGCTATGTCCAGGGCTGGAGTGGTGGTAATGAGCTATGTCCAGGGTTGGAGTGGTGGTAATGAGCTATGTCCAGGGCTGGAGTGGTGGTAATGAGCTATGTCCAGGGCTGGAGTGGTGGTAATGAGCTATGTCCAGGGCTGGAGTGGTGGTAATGAGCTATGTCCAGGGCTGGAGTGGTGGTAATGAGCTATGGCTGTGGGCTGGAGTGGTGTTAATGAGCTATGTCCAGGGCTGGAGTGGTGGTAATGAGCTATGTCCAGGGCTGGAGTGGTGGTAATGAGCTATGTCCAGGGCTGGAGTGGTGGTAATGAGCTATGTCCAGGGCTGGAGTGGTGGTAGTGAGCTATGTCCAGGGCTGGAGTGGTGGTCTGTGAGTGGCTGGAGTGCACAAAATGAGCTCTGTGGGGGGGCTGAAATGGTGAGAATGAGCAGTGAGAGTGGCTGAAATGGTGTGACCGACATGACATTAGATCTGTGAGTATGTGTAAGAGTGCTAAACTTACCTTCTTGATTGGCCGATGCGGGTAAAAGATCTGCCACACGCTCCATGAAATCCGTCTCTTCGCGTGCACCATTGCACGCAAGTGTTACCACCAATGACGCCTGAGATGACGGTCGCAATCCGTGCACTGGGTGGATGTCGTATTGCCACAATTCTTCCACATCCGGCCAACAAACATCCACCGGCACTGGTCCTTCTAGCATCTCCACTGCATCACCGCCCTCTCTAGGCCCATCCTGATGACCCCCCATGCCACGACTATGTATTAGCGACAGCATAACAGGTACGTCCACTTGGTCCGCCTCCTCCTCCTCATCTCGCTCCTCCAATTCCCTCACTCTTTGATCGGCCCCCAGCACGCTTGCTGCGTTCACAACCTTATGCAAGTCAGGATGTTCCCATTTTGCATCTGCCGGATCCACAAACCGGTACTTGATTCCGAGCTCAGTGCAAACAACCTCGATCAATTTGTCTTTTCCATTGGACCCACCCACCTTGCTTGGGGCCTTCTTCTGCAACCACCCTTTTAGCTTCACGACCGTATGCATATGAAGGTCCTCTACGACCTGAGCCTCATCAATTTGGACCACAGCCCTTACACGGTTTTGCAGATCGTTTTCGAAGCTCTTGACCACTGACCGCCTCTTGTGCCACCAGTCGTGCTGGTGTCCCACCCCTCTGTCCGCAGCCACAGTCTTGAATGTACTACCCTCGTCCGTAACAATACCAGCCACTTCAAACCCCACATTCTTGAAATAGTCCATGCCTAAGTTGAATGCAACGCTTTCTAGCCTAGGGGATGAAGGATCATGGACATACTTCTTCGTATTTTCGACATGCACAATTTTCCTACTCTCGGGATGCAGAAAAGACACACAGCACCACTCCGCCTCTCGAGCTTGGCTAAATCTACCATCTAC